ATTATTGATGGTTTCCTCTTGCATGTCTACGAGCACAGGCTGTAGGCAGTGGTGTGATCAGTAAGAGGGCAAACCTTTTGAGGCTGCTGCAAATGACGCAGGTGTGGTGAAATTGAAATGCTTCTGGAAAATCTCAAGCCATCATCATCGTATTTTCTAGAAGCTTAGCAAGTACTTTTTGAACGCGCGGTCTGGTTTAAATCCAGTCTATGACTACTAGGCTCCCAATTGACTTAAAACCATCGTTTTAATGTATAACCCAATTCTCAGTGGCTAGATTTCACTATTCTCCCCATGTTCGTATGGCCACCTCGCTCTGCAAGGTCATCTCTACATGGTGCTATACGTTAAAGCAAGCGTTTAATTGAGCAGAAAAATAATAAATTGCTCTTCTGCGTGTTGTTTCAATCCTTAGATTAAGTTTTGCTTCGAAGGAGCAAAAAACCGTGAAAAGATGGTAATGACATGGTACATATTCATATCCATCTCCCAATGACGCAACAGATGACCATTGAAAAAATCTAGCTCTGGCCATCAAAAAGACATAGGGTCTCAATTACACTAGTAAAACCTGCCCATCCAAATAGTTGTAAAGCCCAGAACAAAGATTTGTGGCAGGATTCAATGAGTCCATTCAATAGAATTGGAACATTTGTGCTTGTTTAATATGCCACCCATGTTAATGGGGTCAGGTAGGAGAACGAATCAGCTATCGGAACCTAAGTTCCAGGGATCCCCTAGCAATGAAAGCAGAACAGAGGATAGGCGGCACCTAAGCTAGCAGCTGTAGAAGCACTGTTCACTGCGTTTGCAACTAAGGTTAGTCTATCTGGCAGGAAAACCCATCAAGATGCCCCAGTTATTACATTGTTAAAATAATGACACCAATTGTGGTTAATCAGTTAGATTGGTCCAATTGCTACCCAAAAAATGCAATACGTAATTAGCTTCATTAATTTTTCGTTTCAAATATGATCAGCACTCCGTCAACAATAATTTGGTGATAATGGTGGCATAGAGGTTAATCAAATAGTTAATACAATGACCTTAGAAGTCGCTTCCTAGCATAAAAATTTCAG